GCCTAATCCTCAGATGGAGATTTCTCCATCCAAGTGATTGAAATCGATAGAGGAGTTGTCCTCGTTATCAGAGTCTTCTGATTTGCGCTTGGCAACATGGTTGCAAAGTTTGCAGGTGGTTGCACGAGTATCGTCGATCTCGGTGTCTTCGTCATTGTCGACGGGAGGAAGAATGGGTTTGTCGAGCAACTGTTTCTCGAAGTTGCTGAACGCATGCTTTCCTTGAGCCATCTTCATGGTGAAGGAATAGGTTGAGGGTAGCTGAAAGCTATTGTGTTTGTTAACAAAATGCACTACGCTAAAAGCTAGTGTAAAGATCTTTCGAGTGTTTTGAGTTTGAGAGAATGAAAGTTATGAGAGAGATTAGAAAGCTATGAAAACTAATCAACGAGAGAGATCATCATCAAAGGGATCGTAGATCTGGTCTCCCGCGGGAGACTATAAAGTGTGATAGAGTAGGTTGCGGTAGTAATCCTACGTCTCCACGATCCTAAAACGGAACGCGTGGAAATTTGTTAGCATGGATCTAGTACGTGGAAGTACTCCACGCTGGCTAAATGTCTAGAGCGATGTTTCATCATCAACCTAGTATGACTAGAGCGGTCATTGAGAACCTGTCTCAAATGACTATTCACGAGAGACTCAGTCATGAGTCGAACTCAAACCCTATCTAGGATCGAGTCGCGAATAAGGCTAAGAGCCGTGTATTGCACAACGGATCGAACATGTGCGAAACTTCCGTGTTGGCTTGTGTCGATCGACTTGATGCTGGTGTTAGATAGAGTAATGAATAATAAATACAGTCACCATGGCGCCTCCCTCCACTAGTGCCTCCCTTTCTTCTAGTAGACGCAGTTGTAGGAAGCGCAGCAATGAAGATGGCATTGACATTCCCATTGTGAAGAAGAATCTTCCCAAATCCATTCGTCGCATCAACTATTGCACAGAGTGGCCGCTTGAAAGAAATCTCTATTGTAGTTGTTGTACATTCTATGAAGACGCTCGAGACTGCTTCAAGAAGACCCATCGCAGTCAAAGCCATACAGGAGAGAAGTTCCAATGCAAGCAGCCATGCATGGCTGTACAAGCATGATGACAAGTACATCCGAGCCAAGTTCAACATGGTTGCAGATTGGATCAAGGATGTGAATGAATACCTCCACGCTCACTTCAATATGAATGCCATTCGCATCCAAGAAACGCCTGCTTCGACCTCGCATTCTGCAACAAAGGAAGCCACAAAGGAAGCAGTGTTACTTGTGGGTGAGACAACACCAGAGATTGTGACGGAGTTGGTGGAGACACCGGATCTTGAAGTCGACAATCGAAAACGAAAGAAATCCAAGGAGGAAATTCAAGTTTGCGAAGTGGCGATCAGCAGTCAGGGCAGTTCATTTTCGATCGCTGATGTTCCGCACACACATGCAGTAATTCCAAAGTGCCAGCTCGAACGTCTGAGGAACACAGAATGTCAATTGAAAGATCTGCAGAAGGGCTTTTCACACAAGACGTTTACTGGTGGATCAAGGTTCATGCAGTCAATTATTGCTATCGCTCTTGCCAGTTGTCCAGCGCTTCCTATCTCCCAAGCTGCAACCATCATCCCACTTATTGTCGCTGCATTCCTTGTCGATTTTGGGCTTTTGGCAAAGACGAATGTGGAGACTTTTTCCAGATCCTTCCCATCAGAAACATACCTGCGTGATTTGATGTACACTTCAGCTGCAGAGGACATGTACTGTTTGTCCAAACGCCTGGCTGGGAAGACGGTGTTCCTCTCATGCGACAAGGGAAACAAGAAAGGTGTCGGACACTTCGTGAAGATACTTTCGTGGTATGAAATTGAATCCAAAAGTGTCCAGAAGCAGCTGCTCGATATTGATGCCAGTGGTGGTACAACCAATGAGTGTGCGGATGCTATTCAAGCCTCCTTGAAGAAAGTCGGTGTGGCAAAGCTGAAGGGGCAGACCACGGACAGTGGTGGCGGCGGTGTGCTTGATGGACTGGCAACTGTATTGAATGCAAGAGGACTTTGTCATCAACCATATTGGGCGCAATCTTGTGCTCTGCACAACCTCCAACTATGCATTGCCAATCCAGTGAAAGCCTACTTTGGAGAGGGGGGGTTGGACAAGAAGAATGTAATGCAACTCATCCATTCAGTGTATGATTTACAAGAGAGCATGGAGATGGATGTGTGGAGGTTGCATGCAACTGAGGCTGTCGATTTCATGGATGAGTACCTCCAGAATACTTTTGTGGCGACTTCAACAGCTGATGAAGACTTTGGCGAGAAGTGGGAACATGTCAAGACATTTCAGACCTTCACAGAGTTAGATGCCGCTACTATCAAGAGCATCAAGAAGCGAATACAAGCGCCAGTATTAACAAGGTGGTGGAGTGTTAGTGAGACGTCTCGAATCACCCATACTATCTACTTATTGATGGTCCGAATGTGTCAGACTATCATTAATGCCCACAATGATAAGTCAAACAAGATAGCGTCCGGTCTACAGCCTTTGCTTACAGAGCCACTACTGTACAGCGATCTCACTTTGATGGTTGGCTTCCACACTGCCTTCTTATGCCCCCACTTCGATTGGTTCCAAGGATGCATTGATTTGTCCAAAGTTCCTGGATTCCAGACACATAATGCCGCGGTCAGGTTCTATCTCATTGACTTTGACCTACAGTGCATCCAAACGTCCATTCTTACCTCGCATCCTGCCTTTTTACTGTTCCGTGGATCATTCTCAGGTTTATCTGCACTCGAGGTTCAAGAACAAAAGAAAAAGGCAACTCAGTTTGTTCAGATGGCAAGCGATATGGCACACAAACACTTCAACAGATGCTGCACTTCGGCCCTTCTTCCTGCTGGTTTGATGGCAGAAGAACCACTCGCGGATGTCATTGCAAGCGTCCTGCTCAACCGTGACCTTCATCCTGTTGCGTCTTTCCCTTCTGCAGTGCATTCTAGATCCATCTCGCTACCAGGCTTCCTTTCTTTCTTGAAGACTCAAGTTGCAGTGGCGAACAACAATGTTCAGCCTACCTATCCGCCACTAGCTACCCATGCAGCCGAACTGCGACTGTCTGGTTTGAGCTACCATGATGACCAAAACATGCTCAATGCTTTCAAACAGTACATGCTAACGTCTTATCTACCTCTACCATGTCATACACAGTTTGTTGAAGCTGGGGTAAAGGAAGCGAAGAACGTCTCAAGTACTGACAGAGCTGAACAGTTGCACAGTGCTTATGCAATTGTCAGGTCTGCAAGGGTACACACAATCGGTACCATCAGAGGGCTTGGGTCCACGGAGAAAACACAGAAGCTACTGGAAAGCACCAAGTCTCACTATCAATCGCTGTCAGATGAGGCCACAACTGCTCCCTTCTGTGAAAGAATAAAGGAGCTGGAATTGTCCATGAGGCAAGAACACTTCAAGATTGACCGGGTACATGCACTCAAGAAGAATGCACTCGACAATGCACACAAGAATAAAAAGCAGAACCAGAGACAGAGGAACACTGGCGACCACAAAACCATGGCCGTTCGTGGCAGAATTGCGTATTCAGCTCTAAGGAAGAAAGAGAATTCTGTCGATCTTCTTCTTGAGCTTGTCTTCCGACTTGGAGAGCAAGAAAGAGCCACCATGACAGCATTGAATTTCACTGACCGAAAGAAAAAGCTGAAGGACCTGGAGTGTGCTCGCATCAAGGAGGAAACTGTCAATCTGGATGAAGCAGAGCAAAGAGCCAGTCTCGAGGTGGCACAAAAGGGCTTCCAAAAGCTCTCGACAGCACCATTTCTGCTTCCACAGCCATAGACCCAACACAGGAGAGGCTTCCATATGGTTTGTGGTTCTGTTTCCTATCAGACCTTATGGCAAGGAGCCATCCAGAGTACCTCGACAGCTGAAATTCACCATTTTGGGTGAGTGGCGGCAGCTCCATTTGGTGCTTAAATTGCTTTCTTCTTTCTAACAATACCATCTTTCCTCAAACAAACCAGGTGCAAGTGACCGCGACCATGGCGCGGAGTTACATATGTATGGTGGTCTATGACAGTTTTAACATTCTACATAGACAATTGTTGCCACAACCACTGTCAGGCCATGGTGATGCTGTTGTTGTTTGGTTTTCTTTTCAGCGACCGTTGTTTTCTGGCTGTCAGAAGTTCTACCAAGCGCACACAAATCGCGCGTAGAAGATTTCTGAGTACCAGAAAAAAGGTGGTTCTACGTGGATCTGGGTGCCATATATCTCCAGTCCTGCCGTGGGAGTCAACATGGACTGAAAATTGGGTCAGCCAGGATCGCGATGGACGGCCCAGCCAGCCCCGAGTTCCACCACTTGAGCTTAGTTAGTAAGAACTAGTCGCAAAGCTTGCAACTACCAACCAGACAGCATTGGACTATTGAATATGCAAGAATGATGAAATTAGTTATGCAGCCTGCCTTCACCAGTGTTGCAGAGCAAATAAATCTGATCCATTATCGCACACAAATAAGTACCAGAAGGGCAGAATGGTTTCACATCATCACGCAACAGGCACTATTAATAATAAGAATCAGTTTCAAGGTCCCTTGTTCACTATAACGAAGGGACTGTCAGGAAGCAATAAAAGAGGGAAGAATCAAGCAGCAACCAAGAATTCGACGGCGGAAGTTGACTTTTGGCTGTCGTACGGAGAACAAAAACGGGCGCGAAGACGAGATGCAGCTTCAGTCGACAGCCACGGCATGAAGGAGCTGGATAGTAGTCAAAAGTTGCGTTCAAGAAATAAAGGAAAACACGAGAAAGATATAGGTAGAGGCAGACATCGTCGGAAAGATAAGAGCCCCGACAAAGAAAGATGGCACGAGAGCTGGCCGCAAACAAGGAAGGATCCTCCTCAGAGAGGTAGAAGCCCCAAAACGAGAACTATTGTCAATACCAGTCCGAAGAGAGACACCAAGTCCTCCTCTAAGTCACCAACTCGCCGCCCGAAGACTACAATGGGTGAAGACATCAAAAAGTTGCAACGAAAGATGGGCGATGGATCAAATCATGGCAATGCAAACAATACATTGGGACGAAGACTAGGTCCAACCGATGATCTATGGACAGAGGAGAAGGCGGTGACACTGGCCTCGGTTGCGGCCGCAACCGCAGCATCAGCGTCCGCATTGGCGAGTATTGCAGCCGCCTTGATACTGCAGGCCAATGGACAAGCGGAACGAGACCCTGAAGAGCTGGCAAACCTTCTATCTCAAGCTGCCTTGGCAGCCTCTGCGACCACGTCCTCGGCTTCAACAATGGCAGCATTGATTTCGCAAGAGAACAAGGGAGCCCCCGACGATTTGACGGAAATGACAGACACTGAAGATGACGGTAGCAAGTCTTACTCACTTGATGCATTGGTAGCCAACTGAAACTAGCTAGCGCGGGTAGAGCTTTGTGCACCCACTTGTTTGGCACTGTCGCTGTGATGGTATAGAAATTGGATAGACGTATAAAAAGGGCCCCATGCAATTCGATTGTACTTTGGCCAAAGGGCTTGCTTTTTTAGGGATGACTGCATCCATTGCCTCTCCACCATACAACTGTACCTAGGTACGGGCTTCTGAGGCTGGCGGCTGGATGGGCCAGCTTCCTGTAGTTCTGTCTAATCAGACATGACGAAAGATCAACCATGACAGAAAACTCCTTGAGTGTGCCTCCCAGCTACCTCTCAAGGTGGTTTTAATTAAGAGTACCGTGGATACCATTTTGGGCTCTACTCGAAGGCTCCGCACACCCAGTTAACCATTCCTGCTGGCTGAACAAATAGTAGTCTCCTCGTCTGGTTGTTTCGGCCAATCCTCTCTGACTAGGAGGCCAAGAGGCAGAACCTGCAAATTGATACCAGTGGGTGAGCCATGCACCCTTCATTAATACCAGTGCTGCACATATGCATACACAAAGCTACCGGTAGTGGTGGGCGGACAACCATAAGAGCCAATCCAGTCAAAGTGGCCTTATGGATCCCTGTTGAATCTTGCCACGCAAGAAGCAAAATCCCACAGCCGTGAGACATGCTATGAGCCAGATCTGGTGAGGAACCAAAACTGGGAAGCTTTGCTGAGCAGGAACCAAAACTGGGCAGCTTGTCTGCCAGGCGTTTATGCATACGCGTTGGTGTGGGAAGTGGGAAGCTACAGCTATCGAATCCTAAATCTTCACTGGGGTTCGTTTGAACAGAATTGAATGGCCGCCTCAAGCCAGAATGCAACCCTGTAGACCAGAACTACTACTAGCCAGCTACCGGTAGATAGCTAGCAACTCGTTGAGATCGGATGTAGTCTAAATCCTCACTGGATAAGGATGAAAAGACATCTTGGCTGAAAGAAGAAGAGAAGCATCGGCCATTGGGAGCCGATACAGGCTACTCCGCCACTACTACAAACCACGCCAACGACCAAGGGATGGCACTGGCTGAACCAGGATGCAAAAAAGCTTGTGGGATGGTTCCCAACAAAGGCGAATCTTTCTGGGCAAGGCGGCCTTAAGGCTCCAGTCCCCACTTTGGTACGGTACTTTGAATACCGTGGATTAGATTCTTTCGCAGTCGCCAGCATGTTGCCAGTTTGTTGCTTTGGCATGTACTTGAGTATGGTGGGAAGAGCTCTCACCGGTGGCAATAGAGTAAGTCGAGTGGCTCAGTCAGCGTGCTACGCTGTAGCATGTACACACGTGTGTGCACAGCTGTAGCAATCAAAATGTGAGGCGACTCACTCCAGCATCAAAAGGAAAAGAAGAAAAGAACCCAGACTGCCAGACTGTTCATGCGGTGTTCGCAGTTCGCAGACTACTCGTACAATTCTGCTTCGTGCACTGTCAATATTCGGTACTGTTTCGCAGCCGCCTGGTGTCAGCTAAACTAATTTCTAAATCGCTCTTTCATCAGAAGCATTCTCAATCAAGAATGTTGAGATAACATTGCCAGAACCAGTTTTCACCACTGGATCAGCTACTGGATCACAGCGACTCGTGACTGATCGCCGTATCATTCTACAAGTAGGTACATAATATTATAGGTACGTACTCATGACTGGTAGGCTATTTTCTTGGGCATTTTTTGACTACCTGGTATTCTTGGCCTTCTCTCTTCAAGCTTCCGTTCGTCAATTCGCTGTTCGTTCCTGGTTCTTGATGGCTTGTTGCTTTAGCTGAAGATGCTCTGAAGGACACAATTTCAATTTTCAGCAACTTGAAACCAACACCACGAAACTGTCTTCCCAGCCCTTACTTTGCACTCCTCATCATGTCTGCCATCTACTTTTCCTACTCTGTCGACCAAGAAGACAGCTGCAGCTATGCCTCTTGCTTTTCTAGCGGCCGAAAGACAGTCAGTCTCAATGAAGCGTTCTCTGTTTGTGATCAGCAACTCTGTTCGCGCCAGTCTTCCATTTCCACAGCAAGCACCATCACAAGTGCCAAGAAAACGTTCCTTGCTGGGATGGGAAACGTCCCAGCCGCCTCTACCACTTCTCTGCAAGGACGTGTAGTTGTCACCTCTTCATCTTCCCGCTCTTCCCGATCGAAAAGATCACTACGAACAGCTTCTACTCGATCAGTGCCTGCTGAATCCCAAGCTGCTGCTTTCTTCTTCTAAGCCATCAGAATGGCTCAATTGGGAGGGATTCAACTACATAAACCATACATAACTCTTTCTAGCTAAACATCCATATTCCACTCATCACAAATCCTTGCGTAGAGAAATTGGCCATGGCTACATTTAGCAACAACATGTACCGCCGTTTAATCGAATGGCCGTGCGCTATCCAGAGGAAGAATACTAAGTGAGTAACACTGTGTAGTGGCAATCTTGCAGTCAATGGCACTCGGCTCAACCTACTCTAGAGGAAGAAGAGAAAAAGAAAGCACCGCCTCAATTGAGTCAAATCATGATGAACACTGAAATGCACACGAAGTCTTAGAATTCCATTCTAGAATTGTACATAGAGTTCGTCGAAGGTAACGACAAAGCAATATGTATAATAATTGAATCAGTTGTTCGAGCCACATCACAGTGAGTGTCGTTGGGTGGTTGAGCCTTCTGCATGTAGCGCATACAACAGCGACAACCATGGGGAGTCAATGTGCAGTGGTCGGATGGGAAATGAGATTCAATTCATCCAGAGCACTGATGTTGACCCACAGCTCTCTACTGGTAGCATGATGAGTACCACTGGTTGTTATTGGCTGGTATTGGACAGCACTGGGAGATCACCTTTTGTTCTGACTTTTAATTTTAAAAGAAGGAGAGCTTCATTTTTGATGTCAACATACAAAGAGCTGGGTTGGGTAGAGCTTGACTCCGCCGGCATATGGGATTGATGGGATCCTATGACCACGCCCACGAGGAGCCAAATCAGCTAGACATGGGACAACCCTCATGGCAGATGAACGTATTGGTTTGGCAAGGAATTGCAAATCTGGGATACCCAGACAACGCTATTCCAGACATCCCACATGCCGCGCAGTGTCGAGGACTCATGATCTATGCTTGCTTCATGCCTATTATGGCCATGGAAAGCCAACAATGCCACCTGAGAGGGAGCATTGCCATTGATGATATTGAAGCTCCTTGCGCTCAACAGAGAAGGTTCCAGGCTTTGTAACACTGGTCCACCACTGGTGATCCTTTGATTGCATGACGGAGATATTTGTGTTGAGCGGTCGAACACTGCATCCGATACACCTAAACACTCCCAGGCATTTCTAGAGCCATGAACCCGTATTCGCTTCGAGAGATCCAGGCCTTGCTTGGCAAAGCGATGTCTCGTCATTTCAACGGGAGTCCTGCTGGGCCTTCACTTTGTCCTATGATACATGTTGCTGGCGGAAAGGTAGCGCTGACGCCTGGCAATCGAAACATCTAGTTTGGATTCGATTCTTCTGTCGCGGAGGCTCGACAAATTTCGGGGGGTGATGATTTCTTCGGCTACGAGTGCATACCGTACGGTATCCTCAAGCCATCTAGCTAGACCTGCGGGTTTACGGTGCCAGACGTCGGTTGTACTTTGTTCAAGGAGATTGATGGTCTTTAAATTATTTTGCCAAGGTTTACATTGTTTCTGGTCCATACTATTGCAACTGGCATAGTATGCACAAGCCTTTATTGTCTGGTTCGGGTGGTCGGATCAGATGCTGAAGTGCTCGAAATAGTCAAATATTAGTTAGTACCACTTCATGTAGACCATCGTCGCAATGTGAGAGACGCTTTGCGTCCTGTTCATGTCAGAACTCTGTCATTGGCTTGTCCCAGTCCCCATTGTGTGCTGTGTGCCAGTTAGTTTTCTCGGTCTATGCAATGCATGCAGTTCCACTGGCACCACGAGGGAACCGGCAGTGTGGGCGGGTAGGAGAAAGAGAGGTACCGTAGGCAACAGGAGCGACGGGAGAGAATGAAGGCAAACTCTTGAACTGATACCGCGCCAATTGGGCTAGCGCATTCAAAGACTCAATGTTGCTGGCTCCACTGCTGCTGAGGTCCATGCTGAGTTTAGAAGTGAGCTTTTCAAGTCGGGCTTCACTGCGAAAGCGATCGCAGTCCTCCGGTTGGTAGAAGAGAGTCTTTGCTTCGCTCTCAGTCTTTCTTGGCACAACAAAGACGTCGGAAACAAGTTCATTGGCAAAGTGAACGCGGCAGGTAGACGTGACGGCGGACATGACGATAATGTGATGTGATGGGTAGAAGTTTTCGAGTGGAATTGTGAGGCTGCCCGACTTGAAAATTGTGAGGAAGATGAATTAGCGGGGCAGTTGTCATGTATTTCTCTTGCCTTCTGCGCGAATACTGCGCGAGCTCCTGCTGTACTCACAAGGAAGCCTTCTCTCCGCAAAGCTGCACGCATTCTGTTGATTGGAGAGCTACTCAGTATTGGAGAAAGTAAGCCACTGGACCTGCTACCGGTACTGGAGATTGTTGGGTTGTTTGTTGGTTGTTGGGAGGAGGTGGTTGCGTGCACAGCTCACTACTGTAGAAACTGTGCGGTTATCTGCAGTAGTGCCTCTTGATTCCGAAGGTTTCTGTTCTGGCTTCTCAAATAAGAGTGAAAAGGCTTCCTTGCTTTCTATGCCACGATGAAAAGTCACCTGTGACTTGTGGATGGCTGTGGTCACTGCGTTGCATCAGCTCAGCATTCTGCAGAGAACCAGTAGTGCGCTGTGATCGAGAGACCAAGCCAACAAGATCAGCTCAAGATCAAAGGTGCCACCATTGGCAATTACACAGTACGGTAGGCTCTATTCAAAGCTATTCAACCGGACAAGACCGGCCAAATAAATACCGCCAGATGGACTGGCCAGCCAAGAGAGAACTTCTCCTCCTCAGTTCCTCGGATTCTTCGATTCTCTTGGCCGAGGCGAGAAGGTGCCACTGTGTTCTCGCATATACTCCGAGCGAAGACATTAACGCTCGGAGTCCCAAAATCTGGGAGACCCCACTCCCAGATTCTGGGAGTGGGGTCTCCCAGAATCTGGGAGTCTCTACAGGTAGGTGTGGTAAATATTGGGTCAGATTTCTATTTTATTCCCGCATCTACCTGAATATACTGTCTTCCAGGAAAATGGATGCCTTTGAATTGTGGGTTGATGGTTGATGAGTCTGCCATCATGTACAAAGGAGGTTCTGTTGAACCGGAATCGAAGAAGACTTGACAGCCGTCCCTTGTTGCATTAGAAGTAGTCGCTTGTTGTTTCATTAACGGTAGAGTCGCTCAGTCGTCGTCCTTGTTGTGGGTCTGCCAGAAGAGTGTCGTCGCCGGAAGAAAGGAAGAAAGGTCGAGTCGCCGGAAGAAGACCGAATTGATCCGTCGAACGGAAGACGCTCGCTTGTTGTTGTTATACGGTAGGAGTATTGGTCGCTTGTTGTTGCATTCGCGGTAGAGGCGTCATGAAAGAGGAGGCGAAGAAAGAAGTCATCGATCCGTCGTCAACCGAATCGATCCGTCGTCAACCGAATCGATCCGTCGAGCGATCGAACGGCTGCCGCTGCCACTACCAAACAAACAAGAGGAGCATGTCATGGTGGTGAGTAGTAGCCTTTGTTAAGAGGAGTAGCCGCTGTAGAAGAGATAGCATCATCTTGATAGAGAGTAAACATAGAGTAAAGGTACGATGTACTGGTAGAGGTATGGAGTTCGCAGGGGTGACTCCCAGAATCTGGGAGTGGGGTCTCCCAGATTTTGGGAGTGGGGTCTCCCAGATTTTGGGAGACCCCACTCCCAGATTCTGGGACTCCGAGCGTTAAAGACAGGTGCTGCTAACGTATCAGTACCAGTCAAGGAGACATCTCTGTTCGCCAACATGCAGTCTGGAATGTTTTGCACTTGCAACCTGCTGCATGCCAGCACTTCCGCAGAAGCAAATCAGCCAAGGCAGGTGAGAGGACTACTAGTAATACCGGTAGGGACCGGCAGTGAAGATCGGGTTCCTGGTGCGGGAGGCGCATACAAACATACGACTAGGATGAAGCAGTGATCCCCGGGGTGTGATTTTCTTGTGGGTTTAGCGGCAGCTGGCTATTGTAATTCATTTTCTTATTTGCATCCAATTCGCTGGTCTCGAACACAGCTACGGTACCACTATCAGTACCGGAATATCATCCTCCGAACCTCTTCTTGAAGGCTGTTGTCCACTGTTTCGGCCTGGAGCCATGTAGTGTCGTCTATTGGAGGCAGCCTACCTGAAGCCCCTCGACTTAGTTCCTTGTGCAAAGTGTCACGCGTACCCGACCCAGCCCTAACCCAGCTCCCTGCGGTAGCAGAATCACATGGTGGTAGACTATCACTCGGTAGCGCGGTGTAGACTTGTAGACTTTGTAGCTGTGTGGACTCGACCCGGCTGTGACCTGCTACCAGTACTATAATAGTACTCCGTGGCTGGAATCAATCTTGACCCATCCACATAATATTTACAGGGTCTTCCTACCTGTACGTGTACTAGTAGCTCGACGGAAAGACTGTAAAGACAGTTCATGATTCAATCAGCGAACACTGGAGGACAGAATCTGCGTTGGCAAAATCTAACTTCCCCATCCAGTACGTTGACTGGTAGGTGTTGTGCTCGCGGTTCTGACAATGCGACCCAGCGTCTTCAACAAGCTCTTCAACATCAGTCTGCATGCAAGGTTCCTCAAGTTCCACCACAAAGGAAAAGCCAGCTGTGCAACCAGCTGCAGCCGTAGGTCTCTGTAGCATTGTACCAGTCCTGATGATGTGTCAACTTGAACAGCTAACGTTTCAGTGGTTTAAATTATGGTGCTCCGAGAGGCTATTCGGAGTCACTTTTGTTGAAGCTCAACTTTCCTGGGTTCTTCTGACTGCTCTTGATGTCTTCTCTTTAAATCTTGAAGCCTAATCAGTGGTACATTGTGTCCAGTAGGCTCTTCGCCACTTCAATGCGCTTTTCTGCAACCAGTGTGAACCGAATCAGCCGGTACTGGCGACTTGGAGCTTGACTGACTAACTGGCAACCCAGTTGGTTGGTTGTGGAGCCATCAAACGAGCAAACTTGAAAGCAACGTCGAGAGCTCACAATTCTCTCCAATCTCAACTTGGAAGCAACAAACAAAAGCACAGCACTTCTTCGCTACTACAACACATCAAGATGCCTCTCTCCAACACTGCCATTGTTCTCCCCGCCGACTTCGTTCCCACTGAACACACCATCATCATTGGCCGTGGCCGTGTCATCAAGCAGCACAGTGCCAACAAGAAGTTTGACAAAATGGTGGAATCGTGTGCCAAGGAATACGCCGCTGCCCCTTGCAAAGCTGAAAAGGGACTCCTTTTGACTCGAATGATCAATGAGATCCACGACGCTGCTCCCATGGCTGGATTTGTCCGAAAGGATCCCACCACCAACCAGTGGACACTTGTCGAAGAAGCACTCGCCCGTCAAACAGCAGCCCAAGCGATGCGCAATGTACTCAGCCACTCTTACAGATCTTCTAAGCAATTCAAGTCCAAGAGACGTCTTCAGCAAATCGCCGCTGCCAAGCAACAACAAGTTCAGGCACCCACACCCGTTTTCACCATGAGCCTCCCTCTCCGCTGTGTCTCTCCATCTGAGAGCAGCGTCTCCAGTCAAGAATCTTCCAGTCGCAGTACTTGCCGCCGAAGTGATACAGTCGCACTCAGTAAGGACACCGTTTTCATTCTCATGTCCGCCTTTGGAAACAATGTTTCTGAAAACCCCTTTGAGCCACGTCCATTGGCAACAACACAAGTCGATGTCTTTGAACCCATTCCATTGGCCTTGTAAGCGCAATTGCACATGCTTCCAGCCTCCTCTCCTCTCCTTAATCCGACTGTCAATACTGCTTCTACCCTTCCGACTCAAACCGACTGTACACTACTCTGAACACTTTCTATGTAAATAAGCTGCAAACTGCAAATAGTATCATGGTTATGCCATCAAATCACTGCCTATTTCTCTAGTAGGTACATGTAGTACGCCGGCCAGCAACATCAGGAATAGGATTAACTATCACGTGTTTTATTCAAGCAACCCCCCGGTGCTCCATTTCCCAGCAGGATTGCGGGTTGGAGGACGCTTCACTGTCCACGTGCAGTTGCCTTGGGCAAGTGCAACGAAGTGAAAGAATAGCAGTGGAAAGACAACCCCTACCGTTCTGTCACGCCAAAGTTCTAAGCCACTAGCCAAGGCCAACAATGCCAAGGATCCCACTGATACTGTTGCTCGCTCCCAAAGCTCGTCAAGTTGGCATCCGCTCCAAGGTGGTTAGTCTACCGCTGCTGGATGGGACCATCGGAACGAGTGGTTCTCTTCCAGTTGAGCCACCTTCAGACGAGCTCCGAACACATGAAAGTACTTGATACTTGATGGCTTCACCCAGACGAAATGCAACGCGGTCTTGTTCCCCCAGCTCCATGAGTGTTGCCCATACCGTTCGGAAAGTGTGCCGGCGTCCATCAGCAAACCACCGCGTGCCGCTAGAAGAACGGCAACCTCGTATACTTTCTCTCTGTTATGTGGGTCAGACCCTTCAAAGTCGCCCGCTCCGCTTCGAAGAAGACGTCGTAGTGGACGTTGGGATTCTCTTTGCTGATCCAATCCTTCACTCTCTTGTGAACTGATTTACCCATTTTCTTGTACGTACTTCCGTTTCCATGTGAGACGAGCAGCTGCAAAGCAGGAGAGTCCCTTTGACAATGCTTCCTTATAAATGATCGGAGAGGCTTGGTAAGTCTTCAGGTACACGTCCCCACCGCGTGCCATGTCGGCATACACGGCAAAGAGGTAATGTGCAAAGCCCTGCCAAAGATCCACGAATATCCCCAGGGTAGAACACGCTATCAATCCAGGCAGTTTTCGGTCTCAGCGTGTCTTCCTTTGGAACATGATCTTGTTTGACTATTCCTTGAAGTATCCCTCCATCTCCTGACTCTGCCAAGGTATGATGTGGTCTCCATGGCAAGCGAATATAATTCAATTGTAAGCTCATAGTTCTGGTCCCAGCCATGTTCATCCAACAAGGCTACTGGTACCCCTTTTCGCCAAACCTTCCTTGGTGATTCCTCGTCACGTCGGAGCATGGGATAACGTGTAGGCAAGTTCTCCTGTGGAAGCCCTGACCGAGGAAGGAACATAGAACGCGTTGGATGCATTCAAGGAAAGATCCTTCTCCAAGGAGGGTCTCTGATGTGGCGGCATCCTGCCGATGGAAAGGCTTTGACTCCAGCTGCTGCCTCCGTTCGAGATCCTCTTGTGCAGACTCCCCACCAAACCCAAGCCCTCTTTCCCTCAAGAAGACTTTCGCTGCTCGCGCTCTCGGATTCAAGATCGGGCAATTCTCTCGAGTGGACAAAACGTCCAGGCAGGCCAAGGCGCATCTTTCAGTTCGACAAGGACGACGAGCCTCCGTGGCACTGATTTCCACTGATTTCACTTTCTCTTCTTGAAGTCAAAACGTCACACAATGCAGCAAACTTAGTCGCTCTTTTCTGAATTGTGTCGAAGCAAGATCTCGAGGCTACTATGGTTAGAGGGAACTATATTTGCTGAATTAGTGCAAGTTGAAATGGGACCTGTACTTCGGTACCGATTGCCCAAGGTGTGAGTTATGTACCATGTATGCATAGCAGATTTCATGGAATGGTGGAACGGTGATGCAAGCACAGCCTTTGCTGGGAGCTGGGAGGTTGGGGCCACCCACATCAGAATGAGAAGAACACAATGCCGCGCATGTAAAGACTGCACGGGAAGTGGAACCTCCCAAGCTAAATCCGTGGGAAGGCTACGACTATACCGCTACGAATGATGAATCCCACTGGGAGGCGGACTGTCACTCCGTGGTTGGTACTTTTTTAGGCGCAAATTTCAATGACTCGACCATGTAAAACGCTTGAAATTGTGAGTGCAAATGATTTACCGAGTCTACAGTGTACGACACTGGTACGGATAAGGCTTCGATACGATCCAATAATTAATGTTTTCGGCAATTGTCATCTTGTGTGGGACATCAAGGATTTAACAACTTACAACAAGAAACTCACCACTCCAACGCTCGAAGGGAAGAGGCAGAGGGAAGGGTTCTTTGCTTCGAAACATAGTCTACCTTCGCCTTTACCCTCTCTTTCCTCTATCAAGATGATATTATCTCGTTTACAGCGGCTACTTCTCTCTACAGCTGCTACTATCCACCATGACAGGCTACTATTGTTTGGATTGACTGGAAACGGCGACAGCAAGCTCGTTCTGTTCGACGGATCATCCACGTTGGGACACCTCGTTGCTGTTTTTTGAAAGGCTGGACGGCATGACATGAAGCCTCTGCTATCTACCACGTGAGAGTTCCTTACCCTGATGTGGTCCCTCGTGCGGCTTGGAAGCAGCGTCCGACAATCAACCACCACTCTACGGTACCTTTGCCGACGGCCGTTTTCAGTTTGAAACGGCAATCAGATGACGCGCTCCATTTTGATTTTTGATGTTGACACCTTTTTCGATTTTGAGTTGGTCTTGCCAAAAAGTCGTCGCCTGAAATAAAACGCCCTGCTGAATTGCAAGAAAAGACGTTGCCTCGCCAAGCTCTTTCTCTTTTTCTCGCACAATTTACTTCTTCTTCCAATGCATGACGATGACACCTTTCCCGGTCTGCTTGCGGCTGTCCCTTCGGGGGCCCGTGGTTCCTTCGGGAGCCCAGTGGGGTTGGCTTGTTGGTGGCCATTTTATGAGCCCTGTCCTGCCCGTCGACCCGCTGGGAAAGGTGTCATCTTGCGGTGGTTCCAGCTGGGTGGTATGGTTCGTCCTCGTGCAAGGTAAGTCCATGTGTTCCTGTCTTTGTGTCATTGTCGCGTTGTTTGCTTGTTTCACGGTCGTCGACCGATCGTTGCGCCTCATCTCCTTTAGTTCCCAACGTAGGTCTGTGGCCGTTGGCAATGGTGCCGTTCGTGTTCCAGTCAGAACCGTCGACCTCTCCATGCCAGGGTACATCACAAAAGCCCTAGCACGTTTCGAACATCCAAACCCCAACAGAGCCCAACATTCACCATACAAATGCCTAGTGCTCCATTGCTGGTGGTTCCTGTGGTGGTCCCTGTGGCGGTGCCTGTGGTGGTTCCTGCTGCTGTTGGTGGTTCCTGTGGTTTGTTGGTCCCTGTGGCGGTGCCTGTGGTGGTTCCTGCTGCTGTTGGTGGTTCCTGTGGTTTGGTCGGTTTGTCGCCTAGTGCTCCATTGCTGGTGGTTCCTGTGGTTGGTTGGTTGTTGGTTGGTTGGTTTGGTGTTTGCCTAGTGCTCCATTGCTGGTGTGTTCCTGTGGCGGTCCCTGTGGTGGTCCTGCTGCTGTTGGTGGTCCTGTGGTTTGGTTGGTCGGTTGGTCGCCTAGTGCTCCATTGACTAGTGCTCTATGGCCCTTGGATTTGATCAAAGTCTCTTAGGAGGTTCCAATTTGACATGATGATCCAAGAGTCTACAACCTTGTCCTGTTGGTGGTCCCTGTGTTGGTCCCTCTGAGGTTCTGTGGCGTGCCTGTGGTGGTTCCTGTGGTGGTTCCTGCTCTGTTGTGGTTCCTGTGGTTTTGGTTGGTTTGGTTGGTTGTGTGTTGTTTGGGTCCTGTGGGGTCCTGTGGTGGTTCCTGCTGCTGTGGTGGTTCCTGTGGTTTTGGTTGGTTGGTCGCCTAGTGCTCCATTGTAGTGCTCTATGGCCCTTGGATTTGATCGAAAGTCTCTTAGGAGGTTCCAATTTCGACATGATGTATCCAAGAGTCTACAACCTTGTCCCTGTTGGTGGTCCCTGTGGTGGTCCTCTGGGGTCCTGTGGCGGTGCCTGTGGTGGTTCCTGTGGTGGTTCCTGCTGTTGGTGGTTCCTGTGGTTTGGTGTTGGTTTGGTTGGTCTAGTGCTCCTTGCTGGTGGTTCCTGTGGCGGTCCTGTGGTGGTTCCTGCTGCTGTGGTGGTTCCTGTGGTTTGGTCGGTTGGTCGCCTAGTGCTCCATTGCTAGTCTCTATGGCCCTTGGATTTGATCGAAAGTCTCTTAGGAGGTTCCAATTTGACATGATGATCCAAGAGTACTACAACCTTGTCCCTGTTGGTGGTCCCTGTGTCCTTGGTTCCTGTGGTGGTCCCTTGGGGTTCTGTGGCGGTCCTGTGTGGTTCCTGTGGTGGTCCTGCTCTTGGTGTGCTGTGTTTGGTTGGTTGGTTGGTGTTCCTGTGCTTGTGTGGTTTCCTGTGGCGGTGCCTGTGGTGGTTCCTGCTGCTGTTGTGGTTCCTGTGGTTTGGTCGGTTGGTCGCCTAGTGCTCCATTGACTAGTGCTCTATGGCCTTGGATTTGATCGAAAGTTCTTAGGAGGTTCCAATTTCGACATGATGATCCAAGATCTACAACCTTGTCCCTGTTGGTGGTTCCTGTGGGGTCCTGTGGGGTCCTGTGGTGCTGTGTGGTTGGTTCCTGTGGTGTTCCTGCTCTCTGTTGGTGGTTCCTGTGGTTTGTTGGTTGGTTGGTGGTGCCTAGTGTCCATTGCTGTGGTTCCTGTGGCGGTCCTGTGGTGGTTCCTGCTGCTGTTGCTGTGTTGGTGGTCCTGTGGTTTGGTCGGTTGGTGCCTAGTGCTCCATTGACTAGTGCTCTATGGCCTTGGATTTGATCGAAAGTCTCTTAGGAGGTTCAATTTCGACATGATGATCCAAGAGTCTACAACCTTGTGTCCCTTTGGTGGTCCCTGTGTGGTCCCTTGGAGGTTCTGTGCGTGTGGTGTCCTGTGGTGCCTGTTGTGGTGGTTCCTGTGGTTTGGTTGGTTTGTTGGTTGCTAGTGCTCATTGCTGGTGGTTCTGTGGTGGTCCCTGTGGCGGTGCCTGTGTTGGTCTTTGTGCTGTTGGTTTTTCCTGTGGTTTGGTTGGTTGGTCGCCTAGTGCTCCTTGCTAGTGCTTATGGCCCTTGGATTTGATCGAAAGTCTCTTGGAGGTTCCAATTTCGACAGATGATCAAGAGTTCTACACCTTGTCCCTGTTGGTGGTGGTCCCTGTGGTGGTCCCTCTGGAGGTTCCTGTGGCGGTCCTGTGGTGGTTCCTGTGGTGTTCCTGCTACTGTTGGTGGTTCTGTGGTTTGTTGGTTGGTTGGTTGGTGCCTAGTGCTCCATGCTGGTGGTTCCTGTGGCGGTCCTGTGGTGGTTCCTGCTGCTGTTGGTGGTTCCTGTGGTTTGGTCGGTTGGTCGCCTAGTGCTCCATTGATAGTGCTCTATGGCCCTTGATTTGATCGAAAGTCTCTTAGGAGGTTCCAATTTCGATGATGATCCAAGAGTCTACAACCTTGTCCCTGTTGGTGGTCCCTGTGGTGGTGTCCCTTGGGGTGCCTGTGGTGGTTCTGTGGTGGTTCCTGCTACTGTTGGGTTCCTGTGGTTGTGGTTGGTTGGTTTGGTTGGTTTTTTTTTTTTTCTTTCTTTGTCTGTTCTTGGTGGTCCTGTGGTGTTCCTGCTGCTGTTGGTGGTTCCTGTGGTTTGGTCGGTTGGTCGCCTAGTGCTCCATTGACTAGTGCTCTATGGCCCTTGGATTTGATCGAAAGTCTCTTAGGAGGTTCCAATTTCGACATGATGATCCAAGAGTTCTACAACCTTGTCCCTGTTGGTGGTCCCTGTGTGTGGTCCCTCTGGAGGTTCCTGTGGCGGTGCCTGTGGTGGTTCCTGTGGTGGTTCCTGCTACTGTTGGCGGTTCCTGTGGTTTGGTTGGTTGGTTTGGTTGGTTGCCTAGTGCTCCATTGATTGGGATTTTCTCATCCTTGGCCTCTCTGGTTTGGCTGCTCCTTTTGGTTGGTGGTTCCTGCCTTGTGCTCCGTGACCCTTGGATCTGACTTAAAAAGAGAACTCTGAGGCATACTTTAGCTAGAATAATTCTGCATGGTTCGACGTCGGGGTGGCTCTCTAAGCAGCCCCCAATCCAATCCGAGCTCATCCCTCCCCTCTCGCCCTCTCATCCATCTAACTTTGTTTCTTTTCCGTCAAGTCTCACAAGTTGTTGTCTTGTGCCTGGGTGTGGTGGCTCGCCAAGGCACTCTGGGGTCATTCTGCCTCGCACGATTTTCCCAAACTTGAAGAAACTCAGAAACTCTCTCAGAATCGAATCAACCAGCTTCCTTCTTCTCCACCCTTCAATTTACCATTCGAGCAAACTAGCTACATGTAGGTCTAACGTGATGCCGTAATGCCATTCCATCAGATCATGTCCTGAGCTTCCAAACTTTCACTTTCAAGGGAGCTGGCTGGTGGTTGGTACATGTTGTACAGAGCTTTGTACAGTCGAGAGTCCCAGAGCCCAGAGAAGACTTTTTAGCGGGCTTCAAAGATCCCAGTGGATGTGCCCAAAGGTGGGCTACCATACTCGTGGCCCTTCTTCCTTCAACCGCGTGAGCACCGCTGTGAGCACTTACTTGTGGTACCGTACCAAAGCAGCCACCAAAGCAATGAGTAAGCAATCTGCTCTGGTCCGAGTCGTCTTGCTCTGTGATTGTTAAGTAGTTCCATCTGCTCAATTAATTAATGGGTGCCATCTACTAGCCAGGTCACCGACAATGGTGAACTTGCACTTCTGGCGCGACTTCAACAGTATGATAGTTCTTTTGAGGCCAGCTTTTCTTTCTAATGCACTTTTGGATCGCTCGCGTGACCTAGTTTGGAAGCAAACCTTATTTAGTCGCTTCACTGTATCATGTTGGAAACGTGGAAAGCCATTATATTGCACAAGATCACGAATATTATTATCTTTTCCTTTACGCGATAGTCTAGACCACCCTTCCTTGGAAAGGTATTCTTGCTTCCACAGCTCCCCCACAATACCGTATTAACGAAGAAGCCTCACTGAGCTTGTCTTTACAAACACCTGTCCATTCAATTTAATTCCATTCCATTCCCTCCCTCAGATCTCAGCCCCTCTATCGTTGCATGCTCGAGAAGATGGCATTCCCTAGATCCCTCCAAGAAGACGACGAAGATGCGGAACGAAACACTTGTCCGTGTCCTTCAGAAGAAGAAGAAGATGGCGTGTTTCGTCCTCAGACGGTCCAGATGCTATCACCGGGAGGTCCAGATGCTTACTTGGACTTTATAGCGAATCGGTTTCGATCTCGCGCTGCCTTGTTCAAAGAACGCACAGGCCACACGGTGGAAACCGTTGGATTGGGGGATGAATTAGCGGAATTGACGCAAGAGATTCTGGCCGATGTGGATGCCAAAGTCTACGACGGCTACGTCTTTTTGCCCTTTTTGGCAGGGTCCGTGCTGGAGAAAGGTGGCTTGGCCGATCTGACCGAGTTTGTGCGGACCAATCAAGACGTTCGCTGGCCGGATATCTTCCCCTTTAACCGAGAAGTACAGGCCGTATTTGACCACACCGTACGGTTGCTACCCTGTGATGGGGATGTGCACAGTCTCTACTATCGAAAAGATCTTTTTGACGATTACAATATTGCCGTTCCGAGAACGTGGGATGAATATACCGAAGCTGCCAAGTTCTTTCATGGAATGGAGGTCCCTTCCGCAAATGCTTCTGCCACCAATGAAACTGTGACACTTACAGGATCTTGTGTGGGACGCAAGGTTAGTTTACTGCAGAGATTGACACTACAAATACTAGCTACTTGCTAGCTAGCTAATGCTCACCTTTTCCCCCCCGTTTATCACTTCCTGTAGCCATCCTGTCTCGATTTTGGATTCTTCAACGTCCTGGTACACTCGACGCAAAGTCAGGCCGGAGGCACTCGCAAGGGATCTCTGTTGGATCCAAGAACATTTCAACCTCTCCTCGGAGAAGCATTGGCGGAAACCTTGCGCCATCTCGAAAACCAAATCCGATATGGTGCTCCCGATGAACTCACATACGAACAATGCAGCGGATTGAACATTGAACGCATGAATACCATGGGCAATTGTGCCATGACCTATCATTGGGGCGATGTCTTTGCCCGTCACTTACTACCCGATTCAGTGGTCGAGGGAAAGTTGGGGATTGCCACCACGCCAGGATCCACCAAAGTGTTGGATCGCACCACGGGCCAAATGGTCGACTGTACGGAAGAACTATGTCCCTACGGCACGACTTATTCAGATATTGGACGTGTCAATTATGCACCCTACGCGGCCGCGGGAGGCTGGTCGGTCGGTGTCTCCGCGGGCACCACCCCCGCGAGACAAAAGGCCATGGCGGACTTTTTTGGAATGGTCTGTGGAGAAGAAGTTTCTCTAGAGGACGTCATTCCCAATTCCACTGGGCCCACTTTTACAGGGACGGACCCGTACCGACGCAGTCATTTTGATATTGACACGTGGGTTGCTCGGGGATACCCGGAAGATACGACCCGACTCTACAAGGATACCATTACCACGTCGTTGAGCAGTGAAAACACAGTTCTGGATATCCGATTTCCGGATGCGGACAAGTTTCTCAAAGTCATGCACGACAAAATATTTCTGCATCTCAATGAGAGTCGCACCGAGGACAAAACGTTCGACGATCGCATCCAAGTGGCACGAGACATTGAGGCCGAATGGGCCAAGCTCGAGACGCAATACAATCAGCGTGATACTACTGTGTTTCCATTGAAAACAATCTACCAACAGTCTCTCAGTGTCTACGTTCCACCGGCACTATCTTCCGATAAAATGAATTCGGGTGCCATTGCCGGGATTGCGGTGGGAGCCGCCCTGTTTGCCGCCCTTGTCACTGGTGTCTTTCTTCTCTGGACACTCTGGCGAGAGCGCAAGAAAAATGACATACTCTGGTTGATCAAAAAGGAGGATATACAGTTATCGTCGGAGGTCATTGGAGAAGGATCTTTTGGTGTCATTTTGAAGGGGACGATTCGAGGAACTACGGTGGCAGTCAAGCCGTCACAGCATGACTGGAAGGATGGATTCATTGGTCGAGAAAGCCTCACTGGTTACGCCGGTCGAGACGGTCCCACCTCAAAAGCATTGGCCCACTTGGAGACTACCCAGACGGATGAGACTGAAGCGTCGCCGCCCACAAACGCATTGAAATTCAGTCATCGACAAGTGAAAGAAGATTTGTCGGCACTGGTCAAACTGAGGAATCCGCACATATGCAGCACCCTCGGAGCAATGATTGATAGGCGGACCATCTTTGTCATCTTTGAGTACATGGAGAATGGGAATTTGTCGCAAGTGCTAGGAGATCCAGCGGGTGTTGCAGGGTCAGATGGGAGCTCCTTTGAACTGCAGTGGGCGTTACAGATCGCAAAGGGGTTGCAGTTCCTGCATTCCATCCCCGAGCCATTAGGGCCGCTTTTGCACGAAGATCTCAAAGCATCCAACGTTCTTTGTGATGGATCCTACAACGCCCGGCTCTCCAATTTTGCTTTGGAAAGCCGTGTTGTGGGATCTCGGCGTGATCAAGGTTCGTTGCTGTGGACAGCCCCAGAAGTCTTGAATGGGGAGAAGCCTTCGGAAGCATCAGATGTATACTCGTTTGGAATGCTGCTGTGAGTCAACAAGGAGAACGGGGAGCGTTTATCGTTTCGTCACTGTTGTTTTCTCATCTGAATCTCGGTACTCTCTAATCCTTCACAGCTTCGAGATTGTTGCGAGGGCGCGGCCATTTCGAGTTCGCCGATTCAGCAGGAGCAACCTGACAACGTACACCGTATCCACAATCTCCAATCCAGACGATGATATAATGCCGTCAACGGGTGTTGAACCCAACAGCGAGTACTTTGGTTCCATTGATGGAGAAAAGCTGACAGTCCCAGAAATCATTAGCAGAGTGTCCGATACGATGCTAGAGCCAGCTGTTCGTCCTCAGCTCCCCAAGGAATCACATGTCCTCCTACGCGACTTGTGCGTTGAATGTTGGAACAAGAACCCAGACCGTCGACCAGGACTCACGGAGGTGGTAAGGCGCCTATCCTCAGGCTCAAACTTAACCCAAAACCTTGCCAAACGAACCAAGCTGTTTGACTCGATTTTGCCGCACCATGTCCAAGACAAGCTCTCACGGAATGAACCGGTGCCACCGCAGAACTACGAAAACGTGACTGGTAAGCCGTCTGGCGGTTGGTTGAATCGCTCGAATATGCACCTCGATATGCCGAAGTTCTCACGCTTGTCATCGTTTCACCTCGCAGTGATATTCTCGGATGTACGAGTTTGTCGTTCCGTTTACCTTCCTGGTTTGCATATCGTTTTCGTCCTCACTTTCCGTAACTCGTTCGCTTGTACAGATTGTGAATTTCACGTCCACAAGTTCAAAACTGACAGCAGCCGAGGTTGGGGATCTCATCTCCAGGTTGTTCACCAAGTATGATGAACTAGCAGAGAAGTATGGCGTGAAGAAGCTTGACGTGATTGGGGATGCTTTTCTCGGTGTGACGAATCTCCCAGATGAAACACCTGATCACGCTCCACGGGCAGCAGGGTTTGCGTTGGAAGCCATCCATGCGGCGCAACAAACACCGATTTGTCCTTCCAAACCATCCTTAGGAACAGTGAACATACGCTTTGGCCTTGCGACTGGCCCTGTTGGTGCGTGCCTTCAAGTTGCTTCGATTCAAGTCGTGTCGGTCGTCTTTGTCTGAGTTCTGCTCACTCTGATCCCTCTTCTCTTTCACTGGCCGTCCATGTTGTCGATAGTCGCCTCTGTCATCGGATCGTCGAAATACCCAAAGTTTACCCTCTTCGGGACCACAGTGAACACAGGTAAAAAGAAAGAAAGAATACAAGCCGGAATGAAAGCTACAGGCAAATCTTACATTGTCTCCTTTTTGATCCGATTCAGCATCACGTATGGAATCTTCTTCTCTCCCAGGCCGTGTCCAATGTACAAAGGAAACCGCTGTCCTGATTCAAAAGCAACAACCTGCAATCGAAGTAGAACCACGGGGCAAGATGGAAATTAAGGGTCGAGGTCAGCTTGATACTTTCTTTCTAAATGGGAATGATTTCAAGTTGCTTTCGCCCGCGGGGTCCCGTAGCAGTAAGCTTCAGGCAAGACACTCCATGGGTGACATTCTGGTTGGTAAGGAAGCTAATGCAGAGCTGACAGAGCTGTACGGAGAAGCTTCTGTTGAGCTAACCGGGAAAGACGATGACGAGGAGCAGGGCATGAAGATGAACACGGCGTAAAGTGAACAGCCGATTTCCTGGACGACAGTGCTGGAACTTGCGCCAATAAACAAAGACCCGTTGTGTTCGCCACTCCAACCATCGACGTTCACTCGAACCGTTGGTCGCTACGTCCACACTTCAAATCAAACAACTCAAGGAGAGCACACATAAATAGACGTTGTCTAGCGTATTCAGGCTGAAGATGGTCGTTCTGGCGTACCGGTATACCCAAAACTCTCTAATTACTTCGCACCGCTTGCATCGCCGTGATTGTAGGCTTCTACTAGTACCGCATGGTTCACACTTCCAAGAGCCGCTAAGCCGCGTTTGACACGACGGCGAATCTGTGCCTTCCGGCGTTGGCGTCTCATGAAATCGACGGAGCGACGTTTTGACCTGCGGTGGGCGTTGCAGATTGCAAAAAAAGGTTGCAGTGTCAATCAACAAGGAAAGACGTGGACCGAATGTCATTTTGTCACCTGTTGTTATGTCATCTGCTTCTTGGTACTCTCTAACCCTTCACAGCTTCGAGATTGTTTAGAGGGCGCGGCCATTTCGAGTTCGCCGGTTCAGCAGGAGCAATCTGACAACGTACACCGTATCCACAATCTCCAATCCCGACAATGATACAATGCCATCAACGGGTGTTGAACCCAACAGTGAGTACTTTGGTTCCATTGACGGAGAAAACTGACAGTCCCAGAAATCATTAGCAGAGTGTCCGACACGATGCTTGAGCCAGCCTTTCGTCCTCAGCCCGCAGGGATCGCATATCCTCAAACGGGACTTGTGCGTTGGAACAAAACCCCAGATCGACGCCCTCTTCTGGACGAACTGGTGAGATGCCTGAGCCCTTGCTCAGGCTCAAACTTAACCCAAAACCTTGCCAAACGAACCAAGCTGTTTGACTCCATTTTGCCGCACCATGTCCAAGACAAGCTCTCACGGAATGAACCGGTGCCACCGCAGACTACGAAAACGTGACTGGTAAGCAGCAGATAGGGTCTGACGGGTGGTTGGTCAGTTGAAAATGCACACGTCTTCAAACACTGTCAAAGTCACCGAAGACGCACAAGAGAGTTTGGACCTCGGAAAACGGGCTAGCCTCTGGGATGGCCGTAAACAATGCGATTTTTGAAAGCGGAAAGCCAGGAGCCAAATCCCAGCACATGTCCCATTTTGTGCAGGTTGGTCCACGAGCAGTAATCTAGGAACCTAGGAACCATCCACAGTCAGACTTTAACCAATGGCTGCCAATAAGGGCACCCCACGGCTCGTCGTTGACTCGTATATGAAGAATCTCTGCAACCTCCGTAGTTACTTCCACAAGTCTTCCGTTTCCTGGATTGCCTCCGGGAATGGGTTTTTGTGGTGACCTCTCGTGCAAAAACTCGTGCGGCACCCACACAACTTGATCTTTTATGCATACGTTGGTTGGTCGTTCCACGTTGATGGACGGTACCAAATGCACTTTTCCGCAGAAACACTCCAAGCAGCCGCCAAAGGAAGCAACCGCGTTGATTGATCGCCACAACAGTCCATAAAATTAAAAAGAAAGGAGCTAGCTACAGTAGCTAGGGACGAGCAAGTGTTGGTTCTGTCTAAAAGGAGTGCCACCGCTTGAATTATGTGATTGTGTAGATTACGCACAGTAACATCCAGAATCACACGTACACTCCAAAGGAAACGGATTTGGGTCACAGTCAAGGTAAACTTCTAAACCCACGATGTAACACCAACTACTCGGGACACTTCCAGCAAACTGGTTGTCATACAAATTCAATAAGAACAGCTTTGTCAACATCCCCAGCTCCGATGGAATTTTGCCTGATAATTGGTTGCTGGACAAACTCAAGAAGGCCAATCTAGTCAGCAACCCCAGCTCTGATGCTAGGATGCCAGATAGTTGGTTGCTATGCAGATCCATTGACGTCATGCGGCGCATCAATCCAATTTCCGAAGGAATGCTACCAGATAGTTGGTTGCTATGCAGCCCCAACAAGTATAATCTTGTCAGCAGACCAATTTCGGATGGGAGGCTGCCAGATAGTTGGTTGCTATTCAGCCTCAAGGAGATCAGGGATGTCAGTAAGCCAATCTCTGATAGGACAGTACCGGATAGTTGGTTGTCTTGCAGCTGCAGTGAATTTAACCTGGACAGCAAGCCAATTTTGGAAAAAAGGCTGCCAGAGAGTTGGTTTTTATGTAGCTTCAAGGAGGTCATGCTTGTCAGCAAACCAATTTCAGTGGGGATCTCTCCTACCAATTGGTTATTATCCAGCTGCAACAATTTCACACTGGACAGCAAGCCAACTTCTGTAGGAATGCTGCCAGAAAACGCATTGCGAGACAAGCGCAATTTGGTCACACTTGTCAGCAAACCAATTTCAGATGGGAGGCTGCCAGATATGTTGCGGTAGACTAATTCAGCGTCGGTCAATGAAGTCATCAAACCAATCTCAGATGGTATACTGCCTCCGGACACTGAATACGAAGACAGCAAGTCAAGAGAAGTCCATCTTGTCATCAATCCAATCTCGGTTGGAATGGTGCCTTCTTGCAAGAACAAATCAGCCCATAAATCAGCCTGGAACTGAGCAGAAGCTGTCAACAAGCCCAATTCAGAAGGGAAAACTGCCTGAAATTGGTTGCCAACAAGGTTCAAAAGACTCAATGTCGACAACAAGCCAATCTCAGAAGGAATGATGCCTGAAAGTTGGTTTTTCCGGAGATCCAGAGATTGCAATGCTGTCAACCGCCCTAGTTCAGATGGGATCTCTCCTACCAATTGGTTGTGGCCCATGTCGATGGCAGTCAAAGACAACAGCAAGCCAACCTCTGTAGGCATGCTGCCAAAAAAAGCATTGCGAGGCAACCACAATTTGGTCACACTTGTCAGCAAACCAATCTCCGAAGGAATCATGCCAGATAAATTGTTGCCACCCAAGTCAATGTCTTTCAAAGACGATAACAAACCGACCTCAGATGCAATGCTGCCTGCCAAGTGGGAGGACCGCAAGTCAAGAGAAGTCAAAGTCGTCATCAACCCAATCTCAGAAGAAATCCCGTTGCTGTAATGCACAAACAGTTTCAACCAAACATTAGGTAGTGCAATCAACAAGCCAATTTCTGTAGGAATAATTGCCTGGAATTGGTTGTCGAAAAGATCCAAGGACCTCAGCACTGTCAACAAGCCAATCTCAGAAGGAAGGATGCCTGAAAGTTGGTTTTTTTGAAGATTCAGAGAACGCAATGCTGTCAACCGCCCTACCTCAGATGGGACCTCTCCTACCAATTGGTTGCTGCTCAAGTCAATGTCAGTCAATGACAACAGCAAACCAACCTCGGATGGAATCATGCCTGATAATTGTGAATCCCTGAACTTCAGCTCTTTCAAGGTTCCCAATAAGGATATCTCAGGCGGAAGTGTTCCACGGAAGTTAGCCTCTCTTGTCACAGCAATCATTGTTACCCTATCATTATTGTTACAACTCAAATGATTGTACAAAGAACCCGAATAGAAGCCCCCCCATTCACATTCATTGGTTTCGTAGCCAAGCCACTCTTTTTGTGTTTGAAGAATATTCCATGTCATACCGTTGAAGGCATAGTAGAAGGAGGCCAAAGCAAATCTCTGTTCCTTTTGCCAAATTTCATAGCTTGCTAGGTTGGGATCAAGATTCAGCCAGGTGTAGGCTCTTAATTGGGGTGATTCTTGATCATTGACAATGGATTCCCACGTGGAAATAGGGGCATTGGGAAGTAGCTCCTTATCGATACTGAGTTCTTGGTTATTCTCCATTTTAGGGGATTCACCATTTCCCCCCTCAACAGCCAGCGGAATGGCAATTGCCAGAATGATAACTACCACCAGTACAGCAATTGCTGCACCAATCACCGCAGGATTTCTTTTCTTCTCCTCCAAAGTCTCGGCAGTATTGGCTTCCGCATCTTCTATTTGTCCTGGTGCCTCCTGCCTTGGCTGAGAAGATGCTCCCAGCACATCCAATCTCACTGGATCCACGGCTTGATAGTTGGCACCTGGCGCTCCTGAATAAGCACCAGGAGTGACAGAGCCTGGTGGTAGGCTGTGCTTGGTCATCGGGCGCCCTGTTTGATGGTCATATTCAATGCCCGCAGCTGGATTCGATGCAGGATTAAATGTAACAACATCGCCAGAAGCATCAGGAGGAGCATGACTATCTGTTACTGCCATGCTGGGTGTAGCATCATCATCAACACTTCTTTGTGCCGCAATGGCCATGAGGTTGATGGTGTCCCCTTTTTCAGAAACATAATCACCAGGATTGAAAGCTTGTGATCCGACGGGTCTGCTTCCAACCGCCACTGTGCTGTTGCTCTTGTTAGTGCTTTCTGCCAATTCTGCCTCTTCTCTGCTGGCAGTGGCAGATCGCTCAGCTACAACTCTCAACAAGGCAAGCTCGTCTTTTTGCCTTTGATCATCAGCCTCTCTAGCGTTTGTACCGACTGCTTTAGCGGTAACATTATCTGGTGCTTTCTTCCGTGCATTTGCAACTGGTCGTCTGGAAATTGCAGGTGCTGGAAAAGCACCGAGATTGTCATAATTGTTCTTTTTATCTGCTGCTCGTCTGAGTAGTTCTTCCTGCTTGATGTCTTCGGCAGTCTTGGTGGCAGTTTGGCTTCGCTCAAGGACAAGCTGATTCAAGGAGAGATCACTACCCAATTCGGCCTCTTCTTGGCTATTTAGAAGGTGAGGATGGGCAGACGACATGGTGATGATTTGTTGGATATAGTTTATGATAGTTGTGGTCTTGACATGAGCAACATTAGGTAAGTAGGTGTTGACGATGGGATGTTGGGCGTTGTTGACTTGACGAACTGGCAGGAGGCGGGTTGGAGGCATTATGACTCCCAAACCAAAGTGGGGATGAGACGAGCAGCTACCAGGTACCGGTAGATCAGCTGACATGGAAATGACCGTACAGCGAGCGAGCAAACCGTGGAAGCGCATTATGATGCGCCTGAGAAACCAGCAGGAAACGCAGCGCAACCCTCGAAGTATCAAACCTCCCTCCCTCCCTCTACCGGTACCAGTACAAACAGAGCCAAAGTTGTTTACATGGACACCACACTGCATGCTGTACTATAAATTTGAGGGCAAGAAGAGGGGGCGCTTTTTAAAAAGCCGATACTAGCTACGAGAAAGTCAAAAGTCAGCGGAAGGAAAGCTCGAGGGAAGAAGAGATGGAAATCAGGGGCAGCACAAATGAATTCGGGAGACCAAATAAGGTTTGTTTTTGCACAACAATGTTGATCGATTGGAGCCACGTGTACAGAGATGACAAGCTGCCTCAAGGCTGACTGGACGCGATGAAGAGCACCATTTGGGAAATGGGAGTACGCCGGGCACTGGATTTTGGAGCATTTACTGGCTGGAGCAAGGTGCTACAACCTGAGGTTTGGCTCTGGGATCAACAATTCCGCCTTGATCCCACGGAATCTGCATAGTCCCAATTCCGCTCTTCTTTGCTCAGCGACAGGGCCCATCGCGGTTGGAGAAAGCTGGGCTGAGTGGAGTCGAGTCGAGTCGAGTCGAGTCAAATGTAAGTTAACTCTTATTTTACCGCAACTACCTTTTTGTATCCGGGGATACATGTCTTCAATGCCCAACTACCATCGCACCTGTAGCGGTATCGTAATGTACTTACTAGTCTACATATGTACTCCGAGCACATGCACACGTTCTGCGCTCTGCGCTGTCGTGAAGCGAAACGAAGGAAACAGCTGGAAACATACGCCTTATTACGCGTAGAAGGAAAGTCGAGGACAGGTCATCCAAAAGGTGTTTCGCTTATTGTATCTACATGTACTTGTAATTACTCTGGAGAAGTAAATATTATAAATTATAAAGAGACAAAGCTGAGAGCTAAGAGACAAGAGACAAGAGACAAGAGACTGGCAAAAATCTTTTTGTTCTAAGACCTGGAGTTGCCCTGGTGATTTATTGAAATCAAAGACCATGACCACTATCGCGTTTATGAAACCCCAAGAATGCCACGAGATCATTCCAATAAGTTCCACCGGGTGGAAACTGCATGGAACATGGAAGGTGGTACTAGCCAGCTACATGTAGTACCGTAAAGACTAAGTACTAGCTAGTATGGCGAAGTGTAAAGCTGGGCGCACAACCGCGACAGTGGCCAGATGGTCGTTGTACAACTTCTTCTCAACAACTAAATCTGAATTTGGTTGTGCATCAACAGACAGACTGCAGACTCTCGTTAGCTTGTCGGCCATTCCTATAAGACAGTTCCTATTCAAATATCCTTTGACATAATAGGCACGACATCCATTGACGACGAAAGCCTTACTAGTAGTAGGACCATGGCATCCCTCAAAGAAGTGGGCTCCACGAGCGGCAGCAATCGAGCCGCCGATCAGGATGAAGCTGGCCTCATGAAAGATATCCGAGCCACCGTGCTGCAAGAGTGTCGCGTATTGGAAGACGTAGAAGACCAGGTTGTCGCAGTCAAATCATCATCATCATCTGCCACCACCACCACCATCACCAAGGAGAAAGTCGGGAAGGAACTTGCTGACGACGAGGAATCTGGGAGGCTAGTGTTTTTCCTGAATGCCTTTGACATTCAACCGGGCGCCGTGGCAGTGGGTGGATGTGGTGCACTGGATGCCAGCGTTGGTAGTCTAGCAGAGAACTCATCTCTGCCCGTTTCAGAAGAGAGACCGGAAGAACCCAACGATGCTGAGAGCCATCCGTATGCCGCAAGCTGCCGTTATGCTGACCAAGACACATGTTCCCGTTCTACTGGTTCCATGACACGGATGGAGAGCTGTGAAAGCTTGGGTGGTCTTGTCGAAGCAAGGTTTGTCAACGACGATGAGAACCCCGCCGCATTGCCCCAAGCTCGTCCTTATCAAGATCACAGAACCAAGTCATCCTCCCCCAAGAGTCCCTGGACCAAAAGGAACCAGCTCTTTGCAGTTGCCGCAGTGACACTTTTGGCTGGTGTGGTGGTATCCGTGTTTCTTGGTCTCTTGCTTCCCAACAAGCATCAGCATGATCACCCAGCAGCAGACAATGGGCTGAACAAGGACCATGAATCCAAGAACCACACCGAAGGAAACTGGATCTTGCCTCTTCCCGCGGAGACACAGCAGTCCATCCTTCAGGATTCACACTCTCCCCAAGCGCGGGCGTATCATTGGCTCCAGGCGGACCCTCGCCTATCCGACTACCCGGAATGGCGGCGCATCCAACGATACGCCTTGGCGACACTCCACTTTGCAACTACAACAGCAACGCAATCGTCATGGGTCATTGACCAACACTGGCTTTCTTACGACATCTCCGAGTGCCACTGGAAAACCAAGATGGACTTTGCGGACATTCTGTCCCTAGATCCACACTACCTGGTCGATGCCATGGTGGAACAACTCGAAGAAGACGCAGGAAATGAACCCAGCCGCACGGGATTTCACTTGGGAGAGATTTTGCATGCAGGATATCCGTCTCAGCATGATGGACATCGCCTACTAGTATCGCAGCAGCAACATGCAGCACATCATGCCGAACAGCATCACCAAGACAACCATGTTACTGATCCTCCACATCATCACGACTCTACACTTCCCAACTATTGCGATGACGATGGTATCTACAGACGATTGTGGTTGTACAACATGAATCTACAAGGCACACTTCCGCCCGAGGTATTCTTGCTCCGTCACTTGCAAATCATGGATGTGTGTGGCAACGAGGGCCTTTCTGGAATTCTGCCGGATCAGATTGGCGAGTTGCAAGAGCTCCAATACTTTTTCTTGGAAGACAATTCTTTTACAGGCTCTATTCCCAGTGAAGTCGGGAATCTCTCACAACTCAAGCTCTTGTCCATGGACTTTCAACCCTATTTGACTGGAGATTTGCCAACAGAACTTGGTCGACTCGAGAATCTGTTCTATCTCTCGTTCCCATACCGGAGCAATCAGGAGCAGTTGCTCGGGTCCATCATTCCTTCCGAGTTGGGCCTTCTTTCCAACAGCTTGCAAGTGCTCGATCTCACCGCCGCGACGCTTACTGGAACGGTGCCTCGGGAACTGACAGCGCTAAGCAACCTACAGATTCTCAAGCTTGCAGGCAATCCTGGGCTTCAGGGTGACGTCATGACGTCTCTTCCGTGGCCCAATCTTCAGTGGCTCGACATGTCGAAGAATGCCTTGATCACGGGCAACATTTCCTCCATGTTGGGGCAGGAGCAACTCATGCTTCTAAAGGGACTGGACATTCGAGGCACTCAAATCACGGGAATCGTGCCGCAACAGCTTTGTTCGCTTCCGCTTGCTTTTACATGCTCCCACATCTTGTGTGGTTGCAACTGTAGTTGCACAGGATAACCACGGACGGTTCGTTCGTTACCGTACTCGCGCGATCATGGAGCCAACAATGATGGATTGTTGCACTTCTTGCGCATGCACAAATGAAAGACGCACGTTGCCAAAGCCGTTATTCTTGCTTGGCCAGGGTGGTGCAACGATCGATGTCTGCGGGCTCCCGGTCCCCTCGAAAGCTGCTTACAGCGGTGGGTACCGGTACCAAAGCCTCAGATCGGGCCGAGAGCCGAACAACCGGCCCTTCTCATGGCTATGGGGATGCGCTTGGTTGTAATTTGCTACACATTGAAGCTGTCAAAAGAAAGACTTTCACGAGCAAAGTCGTGAAAATATCGAAAGGCTGATGTGTGCTGCAAGATATGTTGTGTCTTGAGATCTGACTGGTGTTAGAAAGAGCAAATTACACGGCATCGTTTCGTCTTGGAGCCTCGAAACTACCGGTGCTTTGTAGACCCATTTCTAATAATTCCTAAGACACCGCCACCGCCGGTATACCGGTATCCAACTCGGCCGACCGCTCTTCAGTTAGCCTATTTTGGTTATGTGCGTTATTGCGTTGGATATTTGATCCCTTTTCGTGTATGCCCGACCTTGCGGATTGTTTGTTCCTATCACCAAGCGAAGCACCTCAGCAAGGTCACGAAACGTGACTAACAACTTAGTTTCACCGTTTTCTTAGTTTCACCCTTTCTTAGTTTCACGGAAATTCCCGATTTCCGTGAAACTAACTCAAAACGGTGAAACTAACTCAAAACGGTGAAACTAACTCAAAAACGGTGAAACTAACTCAAAAACGGTGAAACTAACTCAAAAGCGTGAAACTAAGTACAATCTTATCATAGTAAATCAATGTAAACACGACTGAAACGGTGAAACTAACTCAAAATGGTGAAACTAACCCAAAAGCGTGAAACTAACCCAAAAGAGTGAAACTAACCCAAAAAGCGTGAAACTAACCCAAAAGCGTGAAACTAACAAAAGCGTAAAACTAACAAAAAGGGTGAAACTAACAAAAAGGGTGAAACTAACACCTTCTAAGTCCTGTTTCGGGACCTTGCTGTAGTGCCCACATAGTGAGAGCAAGCCGCCAGCTGAATCTGGACAGCCTTTTACGTCGCTCGCACCCCGACGACGAGAAACAACGTTCCTTGTCCTCCTCGGTGATTTTGAATCGTTTTATCACCGAAAGTGTGGCCAGTGAACATCCAGACTTCACTGTGGGAAACACCTGTGCCTTGGCTCGTGGGGCGTCTGTCCTCAAGCAGTTCTCGTCTGAATCCGTTGTGTTGGAAGGTCCTATTCAAGTTGCTAGAGCAATGGAATTTGTGTCTTTAGTGTTTAATCTTTCTCCCCTATCGCACATATAACTGGAATGCCCGTACACCAATCTTGTCAATAGTAGAATCACGGGGAAAAACAAGGACCACCAAGACAAGGCAATTGTTTTGGCTGGGCAATTGCATCTTGCTTTGATGTTGCAGTTATTCCTGGTAGGGACCTTTGATGGGCTACTGCATCTGGAACAGTTGGTAAACAGGAGGAGGCTCCAAAATCAGTGCACGAATCCTTGGCAGTGCAACTTGGAGGTTCGCCAGTTGAGTAAGCTCCACTGACACAGTACATGTCATCCAGAAGAGTCGGACTGGATGAGTCTGAGGTGGGCAAGTATCCAATCCCAACTCCGTGAACAACATTCTTGGAAGTCACATTGTCACAAGTGTAAATGACAGAGCGAGACAATGTTCCAAGGAGCACTTGGGACAAGGAGTTACCCGAGCAGCTAATGTAGATGCGGCTGCTGAATGCCAAGGTCGGAAGCATTCCGGTTCTTCAGTGGGCACGCAACAAAGGATACCGATGGGATGAAGAAACCTGCACTGCTGCTGCCAGACTTGGTCATTTAGAGGCTTTGAAATGGCTTCATGCCAATGGCAGTCCCTGGGATGGTTGGACCAGCACAGCTGCGGTTGAAGGAGGGCACTTGGAACTACTGAAATGGCTGAAAAACAACCACTGCCCAATGCATTCGCAGAGAGTATGTAACTTTGCAGCCAAGCATGGCCAATTGGAGGTGCTGAAATGGGCCAGAGAACAAGGCTACAAATGGGATGCAAGTACATGTACATGTGCAGAAGCTGCTGGAGAAGGAAATCTGGAGACGTTGACATGGGCCAGGAACAATGGATATCCTTGGGATGATTGCACTTGCTTTGATGCTGCTTTGAATGGGCATCTGGAGGTGTTGGAATGGGCAATGAACCATGGCTGTCCTTGGTTTGATGGAATTTGCATTCGTGCTATTGATGCAGCAAATTTTGAAGTGGTGAAATGGCTTCTAGAAATGGGTGCCCACGAGATGAGATAATTTGTGCTGCAGCAGCAGCAAGAGGAAACTTGGAGATGTTGAAGCTGGCTAGAAATAACGACCGCCCCTGGCATCAGAGGATTTGCAGTGCAGCTGCCAAGCACGGGCAGTTGGAAGCTTTGAAATGGGCAAGAAGCAACCACTGCCCCCACCGGCATTGGTGCTGCTACGAAATGACACTGGGATGTTTTGAAGTGGGCCGTAGGCAATGGCTGTCCAGTGCAGGCATGAAGATGTTTGCTGCTATGCTGCATCGTACCGGTATCGTGTCATTTGCGTATATGGAGGGCTGCCGCAGAAGGAGAATGGGAGCGTGTGTTGAAATGGCCCCTACAATGGCTGCCCCTGGGATGAAGAACGAGAAGGGGTGCCCATGAGGACTTCTGTTTGCTGCTGCACAAAAAGGCATGAATTGCAGTGATCAAGATCTCATGGTGATGTCGAGAGGTAGAATCGTCTCCAGGGAGATTTTTGCTCACAGGAAACAACTACTTTCGTTGTCACTGCCTACTTTCTAGATGAACAGAGACTACAGTTATTACCTGGCCAGCAAACTTAGATGTTGTCCCTAGCTAGCTACACGTGTACAGTACCGTGCTGCCAAAGACGACAAGAAAGCGTGGTTGCTGTGTTGATTGGTTTGGTTGGTTGCGTTTGCAACTCCCTCCGTGTGACTGACTCGACTCGTTTGGTTTCGCTCGAGGATTGATTGTTATTATGCGTTAGCTTTTGCCTTGTCCAATGCCTCCATGATATCATTGGAAACATCGCCTGGTTTTCTGTTTCCATCAATCATGACACTGATTTCGGTGTAACTATCCTTGACCGCCTTGACATTGGCATGGAACTGTTCCAAGCGTACAACCACCTTTTCTTCGGTATCATCGCTCCGTTGTTCCAACCGAGCCAAGACGGCTTCATCCGCCGGAGGACTGAAAGTCATGTGATAAATCTTACCCGTTTCGGGATCGGTTCGTCGTCCTACCACTCGTTCGACCAAGACTTCATCGGGTACGTTGAGGAACAAGAAGCAATCGGCACTGACACCGGCATCTTCCAAAGCTTTGGCTTGAGCTTGTGTGCGTGGGAATCCATCCAACAACCAACCCTGTTTGGCACAGTCCTCTTCGGCCAAACGGTCCTTGACCTGACAACACACAAAAATGAAACAGACAGGTGAGTCTTATCTGCCATACTTTTCACTCGCCCCCTTACAACCATCCAACAGCACTCTGTACTGTGTACTTACCACTCCGATAATGACTTCGTCGGGAACCAATTTTCCACTGTCCATGTATTCCTTGGCCGACTTGCCGACTTCTGTTTGCGCTGCCACAGCGGCACGGAGCATATCTCCCGTGGAAAGGTGCACGACACCGAATTTTTCTTTAATGGTTTCGCATTGAGTTCCCTTGCCACTGGCGGGAGCACCGGCAATGATAATCTTAATGGGAGATGCTTCTTCACCGTCGGAAGCCATGAAAATCTTGGTCAAGGACGAAAACGTCTCGGGAGTTTGAATGCACAGGCAGTCCATGGTGTTGGTGTTGGTGGATGGTACTTTCAGCCTCGGTTGCGTTGTAATGGGAACCACAAAACCAAACACAGAGCTGCTGCCAACTCCTAACAGCACGAGAACACGTAGCAGATTCATGGTGGTGGTTGTCATGGTCACGTAGTAGTAGCTAAGGAACCCTCTTTTAGCGATTGTTTTAGTGTCGTCAAGGCAAGGTAATTAATTGCCGAGGGTGAGTTACAGTCTCAGGCTGCCGTTGGGGTAAGTTGTGGAGTGCATCATTGCTTCCTTGTTGTTGGCGTCAGCTGCAGATCCTTTGCGGCCAAGGTTCGTTCGAGGATCGGAGGGAGCCATCGCTGACGTACTCCCAGTTTGAAATCTTATTAAGGTTAAGGGGATCTCCACCGGTTCCGGTACCGCTGTCCAAGGAAAGCCTTTTCAACTTGACACCCTCACCCCGAGATTTAGGGGGGGTCAGGCACCAGCGCGGGGGAGGGAAAAGAAAAAAGAAAGGGAGAGGGTTAATGGCGGGATTCCTGATTCCCAACCAGCACGCCAACCAGAGAGCATTCACGGCTTGATGCAGTCGCGTCAACTGCCAAAGAGAGGGGAAATGGCAATGACCTGGTCATTCGCCCCTCCTATTTTAAATCTCTGAAGAGGTAAGACACGTCCGAAGAACAACGAATATGTCAGCAAGTATGTCACCGGAATTCAAATCCTTTCGACCTGCAACGGATACTCGCTGGCTCATTCTTCCTTTGCTCGCATCACACCTTCCCATAAATTCAAAAATCGAGGAAGATCAACAAACGAATCGGCGATCGACACATCGACACGATCGACACAAGAACACCAACACTTCACGGACTGATCGACCATGAGGATTGTAACATTCGTTTCCTTCTCAATGTGGCTGCGAAGTGTTATCAATGCATACCCATTCAGTGAGTCGAGGACAACAAGGCATGAATTCACCTGCGAGTATGTGATTTTGGAAGAGGGGTCCAGCGTCAACAACAACGAGAAGTACAGGTGTGCTCGCACAATGGAATTTGGAGTCGGAGGAGGGTACACTCTTGAGCAAATGATATTGCAAGGAAGATGCAAGCCTCTTTCTCCTGACATGACCAACATCATGGACTACATGTATTATTGGGGACCTCAGAAGAGTCGCCCATGGTACAGAGCTGTTCTCTCCACCCTTTATGAAATGTTGGAGGGACCACATCCATGTGAAAGGAAGGACATCTTCATTGAGTGCATCTATTGGTTAGTCAGGGAAAGGATCACTGAGAGCTATGATTTGTCCTGCAATGAAGGACAAATGGTGATGGATGCTTGGCATGGGTATTGTATCAACCAATATCACAACAAAATATCCTTTGGGATATTGACTCTTCAGAGTGAGGAATTTGTTACTCTGTGCATTGAAGACATGTAATATCTTGGAGGCTTGCGACCTCAGTTCGCTGTATTTGTAGAAGAGAGTGTGAGTGGAATCAACCAGGAAGTCTAATGTAAGTAAATGGCTATATTAGAAATGAATGACACATGTACATGTACGACTAAGGCATCATTCTATGCAATGTATAGGTAATTATCGGTTGATGGTTGGGTTGCCATACCCATCGAGTTTCAATCTGCAATTTGAATCATGCGGTGGCCTTCCAGATCTTCTGCTCAACCAGTTGATATAAGCAAAGCAGCATCCTTGTACCTGTGGTGGTTGTGGAAAAGGAAGAATTGGTCGCAATTGCTGTTGATGATGCATTTGGATTGTAAGGTGCATCATTTGGATCTGTTGTTGCTGAATCAATAATGCTGCCTGTTGCTGCTGTTGCCGAAATTGAATCAAATAACTCGCATCACTGTTTGTTGTGTTTTGTGCAATGGCAGTTATGTTGTGTGGTGGTGGCGGTGTCTCAACAACCTCTTGTTCCAGTGGTGCTTCGACTGGTGGTGCTTCGACTGGTGGTGCTTCGACTGGTGGTGGTGCTCCGGTACAAGCCACACAAAGACAACAGTCATTTGCTGCATACTTCTTCCTTTGTGGTTTGAATGAAACAATGAACTCTGAAAAGAACCTCTCTCCAGTATCATGTGGCAGTGGCTCTGCATTTGGAAATGGCTCATCCACACCCACAGCCAGTGCTAGCTCATTGAGGTAAGCCAACTCTGAATGGTTCCAGTATGGCACAACCTTTTCCCATCCAGCTGGAATTGACCTCCTTTCTTCCAGACTGATTCTTGACAGGAAGGCTCTCTTGTGTCGAATCTTGAGGTTGTATCTTGCAGTTCCAGCCAGGTTGAGTGCATCAGCAAGAGACCTCCTCATACCACCATTACCGAAGTGGGCAAACTTGTCGTGGAATGCTTCTAACTTGGATTCTCCTCTCCTTGACAGATACTCTGGGAGGCTGTGCTTGGAGTTGGGTGATGGAAGGATTGTGTCATACATGTCTTCCAAAGGCAGTGGATCAGCCAAGTGAATGGCTTTATCAACACAGTTCTCTACAGCTGGCTTGGTGTCTTGAGTAAACAAGGTATAGTTCTTGACTGGATCGAGTCGGCCCTGTCCTGGCTGGCTACCATCACTGGCAGTAACCTTGTACCTGCAGAACCACTGTTGCAACTTCTGTCTAATTGTCTCTGGTTCTCTCATCTTCTTCCTTAGATATTTGGAGTACCTGCGACGGGATACAGCTTACAATTCAGCTTTACAGCTTTACAATTAGCAGGCTTATTCTAGAAAATAATCAATAACTGCTCACTTATTTGGAAATACAAACTTTACATCTCTTAGATCGTTAGATTAATCAATCCACAATGGTATTGTCGCATGGTAGCATGCGAGGTTATGAGATGTTACTCATTTTTATTCTTATATGTCTATCCCTTATGGTTGTCAATGGATTGCGCTACTCCTTGATGCAGATTGCTCCAGAGTTTCCTCTTGCACTCTTCATCGGTAGTCCTTCCCCTTATTGCAACTTAATTCCCCTGGATTCGCTCGTAAGCAATCCTCCTCTTGTTGTGATTCGCTCTAAGCAATCTCCCATTCCATCCTGTCGTCGATGAAATCGCGTGAGGATCCTATCGATGGACTCCTATGGGAGTCCACCTTTTACTATCAGCCAAGCGCTAAAGAAGCCGTACTAATACTGCTAATTCTACTGATACTACTGTTATCTCTATCACCGACAAACCTTACCTCATCACACCTTGCCTCTCGTCGGCCCGACAACAGAGGTCGCGATGGAGTTAACAGAGGTCGCGTCATCGAGTTAACAAAATTATCGAAAAATGAGCTGTCTGCATATATAAGGCTCGGCTTGTGTGTCATGCCTTGAGTATGCTTCGGAGAGCCATTTCACCCTCTATTATGGAATCGAATACCTGAGCTTAAGTCTTTTCTTGAGAGCGATCGGTCGTTTCTTGAGTCATGCTTCAGATCCTCCACTAACTTTTTCATTTAAACTCGACGGGACGGAACATCCACACGCGATGACAACAACAATCACGATCGCTCGTGTTGTTGTTGCTCCGTCAATCGCTCGCGTTTACAAAAAACTGGCATTGGTCGTTTGAACTGGCTTGCAGTTTGGTCGTTTGAACTGGCTTGCAGTTGTTCTAATCATTCAAACGACCGATCCGCACGACGCGACCGATTCGCCGAACTCGCGTTCGAAGGATCCAAACGCCGAAACGACGGCGAAGAACAAAAACAACAATAAAGCTCATAAATTCCATCTTCGATTGACTCGATTAATTGGATATCCACTGCTCTCCTCCTCCTGTTGCCATTGCTCTTGTTGCCATTGCTCTTGTTGCCATTGCTGCACTGTTGACGTTGTTGATTTTCACTGCCTCCTATTCCATCAGCTATTAATGGACCTTGACGACGCTTCCTCTGCCTCAGCATCTTCATCTTCAACAGCAGCGCCAGCACCAGCATCCTTGTTCAGTCCACAAGGCTTCAGACAAGCCTTTCTTTGAATCTGATCCAATCATCCCACCATCTGATCCTCCAACCATGACTACTGCACCATTGACCGCAGTCCAATCTCCAGGGAGCTCCTCCAGCACATTGGGAAAAAACCAAAGAGAAGACCAAGCTTACAGAAGCGCCTCGGCTTGGAGGTATCAACCCACCTGGAGCCTGGAACAGGGATCTGGCTCAGATGGACGGGGAAAGGAACCTCAAAGCACCCTATGCTTCAGGGTTTCCAGGTTGACGACCATCTGAAACATCACACCACACTCAAGCCTATCGAATTGGCATGCAAGAAAGGACTTAAGGATTCCACCAGTCTACTATTCTCCACTCTAACAGAGTCCAATGCTTCTGGGTCTCATGTGCTAGCCTCTTTTATCGCCTTTGAGAGTATGATGACAGAGCATTGAATGGAAGGGGTCTTCCAGCTTTGTTGTTGGAGACTTTAATACTAACACTATTAATAAAATCAACATGATCACTGCTCCTGGACAGGTCTCAGAGTCTATGATGGAAAAAATGGCATCAGGACCTCACAGTCAATTGGGTCGGACTCATCGATGCCAATGGGG